GAGGCGGAACACGGAGACTAAAAAGAGGAACAAGAAGCGAAAGAAGAAGAGGAAGAAGAGGGGAAGGGGGAGTAGTAGTAGTAGTAGTAGTAGTAGTAGTAGTAGTAGTAGTAGTAGTAGCATGAGTAGTAGTAATGGTAGTAGTAGTAGTAGTAGTAGTAGTAGTAGTAGTAGTAGTAGTAGTAGTAGTAGTAGTAGTAGTAGTAGTAGGAGGAGTAGGAGGAGGAGGAGGAGCAGGAGGAGCAGGAGGAGGAGCAGGAGGAGGGACGATGCGATGGGCGGAATCAAGGCGGCTACTGTCTGAGGTTGCACACCAATGTTGCGCGACGGCAATGGGTGTGCGGCCACATTTAACACTCATTGGGCGAGTTTGAAGATAGGTAATCTAGTGACGCCGTGAGATAGTGGCTTGAAGTTTGGGCACCTGGTGAGCTATGCGTATTCGGCAGTGAAACCAACGAATTTGCAATTACTAACATTTCCGCCAGAACTTTAGATTGCTTGCAACTTTGCGGGATGTTTCACATTTAATGAGTGGATAGCTTCAGCGTCCCCCAGCTACTTTTGTATAACAGTTGACAAAATCCTTAGTTAAATGCAACAGGCACCAAAGTGCATGCCATACTGAGTGGAATTCATAGAAGTACCCTCGTGTAGTAAAGCTTGCTTGAGAAGGATTGCAGTAGCCAACGTTGTGAGACATAACCTCGAGATACTTCACACATTTTATGCGCTGTATTTTAGTTCAATCGCTGCCCAAGTCAGACTCGCGTAGGAATGACCATGTGTGTAATCATTTACGAAAACCGGAAGAGCTGGCGCTTATGGTTCAACGACAGACTACGCCCAAATCGGAGAACCGGGAATCTAAGCCCGACAGAAGCCTTTTTGCCTGCATTAATTCGTTTTTTCCTCCAGTCTTTATTAAAATTACTAATTACTTCCTAGTAAAATAACGATATGTAACCTGTTCGTCAGTTACAATCTTTCTTCCAAATTGGTTACTCTATCGCCTGGTATGAAAATCCTTAGTAAAAAGCGTGCCTGCAGTAGTGTAGGAAGTAGTGTGGGCTCGCGCTTCTGTTATCCTATCCATTCAGACGAAACTGGAACGATGCATGTTAATCGTACCAGTTGCTCCATCGTCTGTCTTCTGAAGTTTCATCGGCTAGATCGTAGTTGGTATCCAGGCACCGTATTACAGGCTGCGGGGGCGTTTGCTTACTGGAGCTATTTTGTGGGGTTCTATAATCACGTCTGACCCATTTGGCTTCCGTTCTACGTTGGAGGTAATGATTAGGGTACCGGTTAATGGTTTTCGATTTTCGGGCTAGGGTTATGCCTTTAGGCTTAGGTTTTCGGGTTACGGTTAGGGTTCAAGCGTACGATTAGGTTTCAGTATTACGGTTAGGTTTTTCAGTTACGACTGTGTCTAAGGGCTACGGTTACGGTTACGATTTCGGTTAGGGTTAAGGTTGCCGTTAGGGTTAACGGTTAACGTTTAATGTTGAGGTTAGGGTTACGGTTACGGTTAGGATTAGGGTTAAGGTCGCCGTCCGCTTCCCCATTCCTGGCTACCAACTGCCCGCAGCCTGTAATACGGGGCCTGGTTACTAACTGCGATCTAGCCGTTTTATCTACACGCACTGTTTTGCTTTTCTAAACCCTTCCCATTAATGTTTATTTGGATGCTCATTTGTACTGAATAAGTGCTGTTTTTTTCTTAAATTAGTTAACTTTGCTGTCACAACAGGCCAAAGTTTTTAACGGTGACGAAGGTTTAGCAATTAATTTGGCCGCCGAAAGAAACTCGTAAGCAATCTTCGAGTCCGGAACAAGCCTGCAGGGAAAATCGTACTTTTGCTCGGATCCACAGTGCTGCGTGTTTAACCTGAATTTGCGCGTCGCATTCTCGGTCAGCCGACCTTACGCTCTTTACCTGAGCAGTTCTCATAAATGCGAACATTATTGGAGGCGCGAGGACATAAATTTCTCCGCTGAGGTTTCGAAACCTCACATTCCAACAGACGACAGAAAAATGGGGTAAGTTAGAAAGCACAAACTTCGTGTACTTCCGGTCTCAGCATAGTTTCCCATAGTGTTTAGCTTCCTTTATACGCTTTGAAAATACAAAAGAAAATTGGTTATTTCAGACATTCTTATTTACATAGTGTTTCCGCGAGTCAGTGTTATGCACTGGATCCTCTTCGTAAAAATCCTTACTCGGTGTAGCTGTTTTAATTGCTGTATTTCGGGTTTATTATGAAAACCTAGGAAGCCAAAATTGTGCAGAATGTTTAATAATACAAAATTCTAAATAGGACTGGCTACTAAAACCAGTGCGCTTTCACCAATTGTGTGGCTAGACGAAACATCTGCTCTATAAGTATACATCATATTGAGACCTTTGCTATGTATGGATGGTTATAACGTCCGTTCCCAGCTTTAAACCGCAATATGTTTGTATGTATACGCTGCGCAAATGCACGTTTAATGGTGTGTATAGAGGCAAATTTCGATGTTTTCAGCTTTACATGTTGTTTGTTTAATTTTCAGTAATCGCGACGTCATTCGTAATATATGGTCGTAACTGGCTTTGACCCCTAGTAGCACGTCTCAATCCCTTCACCGATGCACAGCCTCATAAATGGTCGTTTGTGATTCAGGGTGGCGCTTTCTCTGAATGTTTCTCTTATCTTTTGAGGCGTGCTTCGCTTATAATGAAAACCAACTCTTTTACATGTATTTTTGTGAACTTCACTTCAAAAATTTGTACACCCTTCTATAAATGTCATTTGTCTTTTGCTGGAATGACCAAAGTACACGAAAGTTAGTAACCTATGACCAACCTCATTGCCATATGAAAGCCTCTAACAGTTCGCCCCCAACGTTTGTTTCACGGCGTGTTTGTCCTTCGTGTTTGCTGTAAGCAACCACAAAAAGGTGAAACAATTCCTACTTATACACTTTTGAGTAGATCGTATTTTTCAAATAGTTGAGTCGTTTTTTAACCTCCACTGTTTACTCCATTTCTCCGGCTCCGGCGGAAGGTTTGGACACGGATTTGGACATGGATGCGGGCACGGATGCGGATGCAGTCCCAGCGGACACAGTGGCTGTCATGGCTGCCACGGCCCTGGTTTTAGTTTTGGTTTTGGCGGCTGCGGTGGCGGCTGCGGTTGTGGCGGCGGTTGTGGTGGCGGCTGTGGTTGTGGCTGTGGATGCGGCTGCGGATGCAGCCCTCCGTCCTGTGGTCACGGCTGTGGAATTCAGGTGGGCTGTGGTCCCCGTCTGTACAACTGCGGCCGAACAAGTTGCTGTTGTTGCTGTTAACTGGTACGCCTATCTCATTCATATTTCTGTCGTTACACGAGGATGACGATTTACGCCAGAGTGGGACCTAATTGCTTGTTATGGAAACCCTGTTAAGTGGTTGGGGGATTTGCTGTCTCATAAAATGTTGTTTATTTTACACTAGTTATTTAATTTACACTAGGCACACGTTCAGTTTCTCTAGCAGTCGGTCTTTGACTTATCCACTTCCACATCCAATACCCTGCTTGGCTATTTTTTCCGAATGTCGGTTTGGTGTTGATGAAAACAAGATATTCATTAGGGTAAGAGAAAAGGGGTCTCTTGTAGTTGCCATCGACGGGTATTCAAGGAATTGTACTTTGCTAAAAAAATATGGGAAATCCCTCCTTCCCCCTTCCCGGACAAACCAACTCAGGATCTCAGGATTTTTAAAGAGAGTTCAGTTCTAAGGTTGGTTTTAGTGCCCGTTTGTTGTCTGCTTTGGCTGACCATCTTATGCCGTTGCAAACAAAAAACATGTCTTCAGCTGGCGTCTGTCGCTCTTCTGTTGAATGTCCTCATAAATACTTAAAACCAAATATTCATTCAAAACACTTCGGCCTGAGCCTTTAAACCTGGTATATACTGATCTGCTCCAGGTCCGCAGTTAATTTCTGAACCTATAGACCTGGAATATACTGATCTACTGATCTACTCACAGTTAATTTCTGAGAAAATTAAAGAGCAACAAATTGTAAAGTTGAGTATTTACCAGAAAGCCGACGGGGAATGTTGGGGGACCCACTGATGAGCCGAACTCCTCGCAGCTGTGTCATGCAGCGGCAGAATATCGGTGAAACACGCCTGTATGGGCTTTTAACTAATATCTGTGTTGTAACTATGGTTTCCCTTTAACCTAAAAAATATTTAAAACTTTTTACTAACGATATTATAGCCATCAGTTAATGCTCTTTTAGCTCTTCCTCGAACGCTTTTGCTTGTCCGGGACATTTGCGTTGCCGTAATCCTCAGATTCTCCCTCAAATTGGAGGACCTACACACGCAGACCATAAATAAGGCAATCGGTGTTTGTATGCCCACCTACAGACACTGATCTCTGGAGGCGTTGCTCCTCCTACAGAAGTATAAATCGTGTATCACTCAACCGCGTCAAATTTCCTGCCTGGCATCTAACACTGTTAGGGCTGACGACAGTGCTACATAAACGCACGTCCGCGACATGTCCTTGTCAACTCACGTCTGTCCGTCTATCGATCCCTGACGAGAATTACTCGTGCCGATCAAGGCGCATGCGAGTGAACCCTGTCTGTGTTGTAGTGTCGGTTGTGTTCAACTATGGCCCTTGTTAGTCTGGATCCGAATCCCACCGAGACCGCTCACTTTTGCACAATCGCGTCAGGTGAACTGTATATTCGTCACGCCTACTTTTTCGTCCTGCTGGCATCATAAAACTGCATGAACTGTTAACTGGTCGCTTACAGTGTCATTACTCATTCCTCTCCCCTATATTTCAGCAAATATCCTCTCTCCCCACTCTGGCAGCCAACTGCAAACTCAACGCCCTCACTGTCGCAGACAGGCGGGACATTCTGTGTATTTTACTTATCTTATCATTAAAAAGGATCTTAGAAGAGACTTCCTCGTTCTGCGCCAGCCCCGGGTACTATTTGGCCGGATCATCTAAAGCACCTTATGCCCCGAAACTCATCTCATGGTAAAGTTACTTTCGAGCGGGTTCTGCCGAAAACTCTCCAACTTGGTGGATGTTGTTCTGGCGACAGCTTACTTTGAGTGAATACACAGATACATACAGGGGACTGGGATAGCTCAACCGTCACAAGCGCGTGTCCAGCAGCGGTGACCCGCGCGAGAATCACATTGTAGTGAAGCAGACCTACATAGCCTCTACCGCGCTCTCTCCCTCCTCATCCACCTTCCTCAAAAGGTATGGCAAAGCTGAGATCACTGGGAATTCGATGGGCGCAGTGGTTTGTAAAGTCAAACAGCCCGCACTTGCGAACCACATACACAGGCGACCTAATCCCACTCCAGATGCTCCAGGTAACGGTAGTGTGCCACAAGTATCTGTAGCGACTTAGCGGTGGGGGGTGTGAACTCAGTGCGCTACGATCATCAAGTCGAATCCCATGTCGCAAGGAGAAGACAGAAGGCACCAGAATGAGAGATATAATGTGCACAGGACACGGAGGTGTCCTTTCAGGCGGCAGTGGCCACTGGCAAAGCCAGGGCTGGTACTGATTGCGTCCAATCATGCCTGATAGTACGCGAGGCTGTGGCGGCAGCCGCTTTTTTAGGCTCGTGGATCAAGCTCAAGTTGTCTCCAATCGGTGTGTGTTTCATCTGCCAAGGCGTGGTGTCCCAGTATCTTATGCTGAACGTTGCAGGGGGGTGGAGCTTTCAAGTGGCGCATGGGCAGCTGCGACAGGTGTGTCCCAGCTGAAGTCGACCGAATTGCGTCTGGAATGGCTCGTTAAATAGGGTGAATGACATTGAGGCAGCGAGGTCTTGAAAAGTAACGGCAGACTGGCTATGATGGCTCGCCGCAATAATCGTCTAATATGTGCGAAGGCCAATATTCAAATTGGATACTGTCCAGTAGAGATTGCGTCCAGGAGCCTGGCTTTGTCCTCGTGTGCGAGATCCACATTTGTACCATCACCCTGGCCAGAGAGCAGAGAAGGTTGTTGTTCATAGAACCTTCTGCACAGGCATCCGGAACGTCCATGAAAAAAAATATATGAAAAGGCCTAAATCCTAGCAGGTCGCGGGTTCCGTCTATGCTGTTGCAGTCGCAAAATACTCAGATCCAACGAGACACAAGTCCGTTTAGTGACGGAAAGAATAGTCACCTTTTTTCAATGAAGTGTACGATTCCATGTTTTTCGAGTTCTCAGAGGTCGGTGTCCATCATTTACCCGATTTAGTTTTCATGAAAGAAATGAAAATGAAAATATTTTCAGAGCTCATGAAGCAGCGAGAGTAGTGGTTTTGCTAGTAACTGCAAAGCATGAACAGTGACGAGCAAAGTAGTGGACGCGGAAACTGATATGGCGGCCGTTTCAGCCAGCTCTTTTTAGGATAGCCTTCTACACAGGCATATGGAGCGTCGATAAACACAGTAAACGCATATAACCCTGCAGATGACAAGTTTCACCCGAACTACTGAAGTCCCAAAGTGGCCAGATCAAACAGGGAAAGGAAACGGATATATGAACACCTTCCAATGGTAAAAATGGCCTTTCGCCGAATTCCGGGGAGATTAGGATCATAATTAAGGCTAGGGTTAGGGTCGGGGTTAAGGTCAAGACTTAGGATTAAGGCTCGGGTTAGTACTACGACTAGGACACGGGAATGGGCGCCCCTCCTGAAGGTTTTCCCAAGGCCACTTCTATGACGAACGTCTTACCAAAGCGAGAAACTTGTGATTCCATATTTTTCAAGTTCTTGGAGGTCCGTTCCAGCATTAACGTGATCTAGCTCCCTTAAAACATGAACGAAACTAGCAACACCTTTAGTGATATCGAGGAGCAGAAACATTAGTTCTTTTGGTAAGATCACTTATGTTTCTGAGGACGAAGATGCGATCATTGGAATAAGAAATTCATTGACCTGACGTTTCGGATCCTCACTCGAACCCAGCATCAGAGACAGTCGCAGATAAGGGTTATGGGAGCACAAGGAGTGCAGTATTTATAGCACGTGGCTGCCGTGGGACCATATGCGTACTTTAATTAACAGTTCTCACAATCACCGCTGGGGTCGTAATTGATGCGATTGTGGTTTGTCAGTCCACGTCCGGGTCATAAATTGCCATGATTTCGTCATCCGTGCTGGATGCTGGTGTGACGATTGCTCGGCAAATTGGCTTGCTGCCACTGGGATAATTGCTCGCCCGCACCCTCCCTACGTGACTGACTCCCCTGTCCAGGGAAAATCTCAGCACGGAATATGGTAACGGGAGGTCACTGAGCATGTTGATTGACTGCGGACCTGAGAACCATGACTCGAGCAGCTCGCGGCTCACGCGGTTGTTAACCCTTGAGAGGATTCTGGCCTCTTGAAACTTGAAAATATGGCCGGGTCCCGTCGAATTAGCCGCCGCCTGAGAGCTAGTGTCTCTCCGCCTCACTGCTGCTGTGTGTTTGGCAATTAGCGTCCGGAGTAATCTCCCAATTTCTCCGACGTAGTTGCTTTGTATGCAACTGCACTAGATCCGGTAAACGACTTTTGACGTTTCCTGCCGTGGCAGTGGGTTTTCGGCCTCATGACTTGGCGCCTAATGGTTGCTTCCGGCCTGTGTGCAACCCCAACCCCAGGTGGAGTGAGAGGACGACCGACGGCTTCTGAGACGTTCTTTACGTACAGAAGAGCCCGCCAAAATTCGGGGCCGGTTGGATTTGGTCTCTGGTGTCGTTTTCGTATTCACTTGTTGACAAAGTTGCGCGGGTGGCCATTGGCTCTCAGAATACGTCGAAGATATTGTAATTCAGCAACTTTGTCTTCCATTTTACTGCAGTGAGTCTCAACGCGCCAATATAGCGTCCTTACGCAGCTGCGTTTCTGACTGATCGGGTAGTTGCCGTTGAAGTTCAGTATATGCGTCATATTTGTCGCATCCCTGAACGCTTTGGTTTTTAGGCCACCACAATCTTTGCGGTAAACGAGGACATCCAGGAAGGCCAGATGGTTGTTTTCTACCTCCTCCAATGTAAATTGAATGTCCGGGAACATTGCGTTGAGGTGTTCTCTGAACCTTTGCACCTGGTCCCGTTCGATGACGATGAAGGTATCATCCACATACTGAGACCAGAATTTCGGTCTGTGGTGTCGGACAACCAGCGACAACGAACGTTGTGCCACAGGAAACATATCACATATGACAGTTCGACCGTCGTTGCCGACGATGTCCACCGTGTACTCGACAGCATGGTGAAGCAGGGAGGAGGACTTGTGCGTGAATTAATTTATAGAGAATGTAGACTTGCACAGCGTCTACCGCGCTCTCTCCTCCCTCCCCTGGAGCCGTTGTCATGACAGAGTCCA